TATATATATATATATATATAATCGCACTCAGGTGCGAATGCTTCGCCCAGGCGTTATATAATCGCACTCAGGTGCAAATGCTTCGCCCAGGCGTGAAATAGGAATGGATTCTGTCCGTCCACGTGTCCAGATCTAATGGATGAGAAACACTGATTTAAAAAAAAAAAAAAAAAAGTACGATGACATTTTCGTAAATAATTGAACATCGAAGTGCAAGTAAAATGTATTACAAGTGCATGTAAAATGTATTATAGGTGCAAGTAAAAAATTTACACTGAGCATCAATACTAAGTGCACCTATAGTTATAAGTAGTTGCACCTATAGTTCTAAGTAGTTGCACATATAGTTATAAGTAGTTGCACCTTGGTGCATGAATGTTTGGGGGTGGTTTTCAAGGGTATTACTACCCGCTGAACTCATATCAGTGAATCTTAACAAGGCAAAATTACATGCACTTATAGATAAAAATATGTGCATCTATAGTTATAAGTAGTTGCACCTATAGTTATAAATAGTTGCACCTATAGTTATAAATAGTTGCACGCAGGTGCATGAATGTTTGCGGGAAGTTAATGTTAACAAGACAAAATTACATGCACTTATAGGTGAAAGTAGGTGCACTTGTAAGTGATTTTACTTGCACTTCGATGTTCAATTATTTACGAAAATGCCACCGTATTTTTTTAAACTATTAGATCTGGACACGTGTCACGTGCTAATTCATTCGCATATTTCTTATTGGGCACTTATTCGCACCTGAGTGCATCCATATATATATATATATATATATATATATATATATATATATATATATATATATATATATATATATATATATATATGTTCAGGTTCAGATGCATTTAAGTGTTTCCCGTGCGGTTGTGCAGCTGATTAATGTGCGCAAGTTTTGTACTTAATGTGCGTGAGTCTTGTGCTCAATGTGCGTGAGATTTGTGCTTAATGTGCGTGACTATGTAATGTTTAACGTGCGTGAGTTTTGTACTTAATGTGCGTGAGTCTCATCCATAATGTGCGTGAGTTTTGTGCTTAATGTGCGTGTGTACTTAATGTGAGTTTCTGTGTGAGTTGTTGTTGAAACCTTAAAGTGCATGATTTTATGCTTAATGTGTGTGAGTTTTGTGCTTAATGTACATGAGTCGTGTGCTTAATGTGCGTGAGTTTTGTACTTAATGTACGTGAGTGTGTACTTAATGTGAGTTGTTTTTAAAACTTAAGTTGCGTGTGTTTTTGTGCTTAACATGCGTGAGGCTTGTGCTTAATATGCGTGAGGTTGTGTTCTGAAGGTGTTTTGTTTGTGTGTTTAATGTGCGTGTGTTGTGTACTTTAAGTGCGTCAGATTAATGCTTAACGTGTGTCCACCCGCACAACAGCACGGGAAGCCTCAAATGCACCGGATCCATATATATATATATATATATATATATATATATATATATATATATATATATATATATATATATATATATATATATATATATATATATATATATATATATATATATATTGAATCCGGTGCACATCCCCTAGTCAGCCGAGCCCGTGAGCACATTCCCTGATCGTTGATTTTAATTTTTTGACGATTCAGATTGATTACCACTTGGATCCCATGTTATACTGATTTTAGATGAAGCATGAGTCTTTTTGTCCTTAAGCACTATATTTATTACTTTCTATTTCATTTATTTCCATATTTATAAAGATTTGTAGCGTTATTTCAGCTCTCCTTAATCAATATTTCTCTCTCTCTCTTAGTAATTTTCTTTGGAATTTTACGGCGGTGTGTGCGTGGGTGTGGAATGGTGTGTGCGTTTTACTGTAACAGGGCTCATACACCATGGCGTGCTGGTTTTTTTCATAAAATTATGCGTTTTGGTATGTGCGTTTCGTGATACAGGCATGTACATTATGGTTTGTGTTTTACTAGTTTCGGGCGTGTGCGAAACGTAGATATAGTATTGGGCTTGTTGTTTTTTTGTTTTTAAATTGTGGGGAATTTTACGATGGTGTGTGCGCCGGTGTGGAATGACGTGTGCGGTTTTTTGTAACAGGAGGTGTACACCATCGCAAACTATAAAACGCACACACGATTCCACACCCACGCACACACCACCGTAAAATTTTCCATAATTTGAAATTTCAGATGTACAAAATATAATTAATTATTATCATTGATAGGGTCCCTAATAATTTAAAATATCAATTTCCATTCATAATCTCCCTAGTATAATGCTTAAGATTCCAATTGAATTATATCCATAATTAAACATATATCTACAATTACTATTTAATCCTTTTGATTTAAATATATCCTTAATTACTTTCACAATCCCTTATAATCTCAACCATTTATGGAAAATGAATCAATGGATATCATGAGATCTCATGATCTCGTCTAGTATAGGGGTTGCACCAGATTCGAAGCCTATATATATATATATATATATATATATATATATATATATATATATATATATATATATATAAAATGAAAGATGAAGAAAATAATAAAAAATTTTGATTTACTTTTTATTTTAATCAATTAAAACATATCAAGTCATTAGGGTTTCTCTAATTCCCTCTCGTTTCTAGTATTCTACACGACTGCCGCCTCCGTGAAGCAAGCGGATCACAGAGGCAGCGTCCAATCGTCTTCCCTTGCTGCCATCTCCACCGCAGACAGCGTCCGCCTTCACCATTTTCTCATCCGTCTCCACCGCTACCGGTCGTTACTCCCTTATTTTCGCAATGTTGTTTCCTTTTGCTTTGTTTTACTGGTTTAATTTTGTTTGCAGTTTCTGTGTTTTTTTCTCTCATTGTTGTTACGAGTTTCTTCCTCTCGTTTACTTGGCGAGTTCTTTTTCATAAAGCGTGAAATGATAAAATTGGTAATGGCGTATGTGAATCTCATCCTAGTTGACAAACACGACAATGAAAAAGAGACTCCCCTGACCTATGATATACAGTTTAGCCCAATGGAGATATTGTCAATGGATAGAAGAATGGAAATATATATTCAGGTGGTGTGCAAGACTATTCAACCAGTGTTAGTCTTGGGTACGTTTGACCAAATCTTTAAAGAAGGTTTAAGTTCCTCCAAAGAATTTAGCTTCAAATTTGTGAAACAATCTGCGAATCAAGTTTTCTGTATTATTGTTAGGAAAGTTGACTGTAAGGAATATTTGACAATTCCATATATTGTTATTGTAAACGTTTCACCTTATGATTAATGAATTAGCTTCTTTATTTTCAAAAAAAAAAAACATATTATCATAAAATAAAACGTAAGAATCACAAAATGTTATTCGATGAAAATATGCATGGGAGGGAGGTGAGGAAGTGGTCCAACTGTCCTACCTATCTCCAAGTCCCAACCAAAGCATATGGGAGGTTAGTAGGTGATATTTAATAACCCACATAGCATGTTCTTTAAGCTTTTATGAAATAAATAAATAAATAATTTTATAAAGTAATGAAATAGAAAATTAATGACAATGAATTGTCATTCAATTGTTTGATTCATGATAATGAATAAAGGCAATATTTATAGTCAATTCAGAGTATTAGTTTTAATATGGGTACTAAAAATGTCACAAGTGTTTGAAGAGTAAATAATATGAGATTGTGTATAGTTTACTAATATAATTAACTTAAGTGTTTCGAGTGTTCGAGCATAACTATTTATTAAGATAGTAACAAAGTAACAATACAGAAACTAAAAGTATGATATAGATTTCATGTATGGAATTCCTATTTAAATAGAAGTTTCTGCAAAGTTCTATGTGTTAGATATGTGTAATCATAACCTAAGAGCTTCCATGCAATGTTTTGTTTGTTGTGCCTATGTGATAGTTAGAGCCGTCGAAACGGGTCAGCGGAGTGAGTTAAAAAGTCTGTCAAAATACGGGCTTAAAAGAGGTAGGACTAACATGCCGGGCAAATTATTGTATGGACCATGGTCCACACAATGTTATGTGGACCATAATAAAATGTACATTTTTAATATACTAAATGTACATTATTTTGTACTGAATGTACAAAATAATGTACACTCAGAACAAAAATAATGTACATCCCCTGAATATAATGTACATTATTTTTGTACTGAATGTACATTATTTTTGTACTAAATGTACATTATTTTACAGTAAATAAAATATGGTCCATACAACTTGTGTGGACCATGGTCCATACAATAATGATTGAGCCTGCCCTGCTTTAGCCCCGCGAGCCTTAGCGGGGACCAGTCAAATTTGAAAAGTTTTAAATTTAAATAAAAATTAATATGAACAAGTTAATAAGTGTCCTCTCAAAAAAGTTAATAAGTGTATACCAAATAATTTGAATCGTTTAAATATATATATATTAATGCATATGTAATTTGTTAAACACAATAATAACTAATAAAGTAATAAGTCCTAATAAATAATCAAATACATAATGTGTTAATCTATAAGGCAATAAGAAATAATTTATATAATGTACTACTTACTAATATTGTTTTTTATTATAAATAAATAAACATATATTTATATATATAATTATATAAAATTATGTATATAGGGAAAATCGCAATTTTGGTCCCTCAATTGTTGCCCGATCTACAATGTGGTCCCCCACTGTCAATATCATCCAATTAAGTCCCTAAAACCTTTAAACCGTAGTTGATTTAGTCCTCGGGTCAGATTTCTCTCAAACTATAGTTAATACCATGGATATTTTGGTAATTTCGCACGACAACCTCATGTCCACCAACGTCCTCCTCACATCATCGCACGCGTCGCGGCTCAACGATTACGAATTACTACCAGTGGTGAACCTGGAGCACGCTCAAGAGCACATGATCGTGTACAAGTCGTCGGAATTCCGACAAGACGAGCGACAACGACCTAGCAAGCTTGGTGGAGTCTGCCATCGACGACAGGTCGGCAGAGGAGGTGTTTGATAAGGAGATTATAAACGGGTGCCCCAGATTCTAAACCTAAGCTGCCATTACAGTACCTCCGTTCGGCAGCTTAAGTTCAGAAATTAGGTTCAGCTGCCATTACAGTACCTCCGTTCGGCCATTCCGAATTGGCGGAGAAGCTGGGTGGAGTCGGCCATTTCGAAATTAGAGTGCCCCCATTATCCTCTCACGCCAATTACCTCTAAATTCAGAACCTAATTTTGCAATAGCCTTATTTCCCCAACATTTCACCCCCAATTTATGAACCTATGCTGCCATTACGGTACCCATTCATCTTATTGCTGCGAAGAGGACGACGAGTCAATTCCACGACCATGTCTTCAAACATAATTAACTCTTTAATTAAAAAATAGAAAATAATTAACAAAAAAAAAAAAAAGAATTGCAGTAGTTACCTTTTGTGGAGTATTTGTGAGCTTAGAAGAAGAAGGGATCGGAGAGAAATCAAAATCCCTCGTCTTCCTCTTCTTCAATTATTGATAATGGACTCTGTAGGACACAGTATCTAGAAGCTTCCTCTTGAATTTGGCCGTCACTTCCTTGAAATTGGTCCTGTTTTCCGCGTACGTCAGCTTTCTCCTGAGGCCGGAGCCGAGATCGCCATGGCCAGCGACGGGGATTAGGGGGCGGGCCACCATGGCGGACTAGATTGTGCTCTGAGAGTAGTCGAAGTTGAAGGCAGAGTTGTCTGGGAACTTGCATAGTATCTCTCGACATGGTGGTCTCCAAGTACTCCACCACCATCACCAGGGGTGCGCTACTGCCGCTGTGACAGTCAACCGCCGCCGCTATCAGAGGGAGATCCGTTGAGTTCACGGAATGGAGCGGAGAGTGTAGTTTGATGGGTAACAAGGATATTGCGAAATTACCAAAATATCCATGGTATTAACTATAGTTTGAGAGAAATATGACCGAAGGACTAAATCGACTACGGTTTAAAGGTTTGAGGGAGCCAATTGAATGAAATTGACAGTGGGGGACCACATTGCAAATCGGGCAATAATTGAGGGACCAAAAGTGAAATTTTCCCTATGTATATATATATATACACTAATATTAATAATGTATATATACTAGGCGGCTCCCGCTGCCCCCCCAAGTTCGTCTTGCCAAAACCCGCCATTTTGATGGGGCACCATAAAATTCAAAGCCAGCCCCACCTTTTTGGCTAGGTGGGACAAACTAAGAACATTTTGACGGTTCTAGTAATAGCTCCATTATCTAGTCTAGCATTAAAGGCCATATAATGATAATAATTGTGTTTATTTACATATAATAGTAGAATTAACTTGTAGTTCAAGTACATTGATGCATTCACATCCAATCCTTTATTTTTAATGACCAAATTTAATGATTTATTAGTATTTCCATTGAACAATCTCAATTACAAAGGCAAAATTGATATTTGAAATTCAAATATTAAGTAGAGATCTATTTTACACCGACACAACAATTAAGGTGATAGTGCAATCGACTGTTCCTACTACTTACACATCTTTACCATCACATCCGCTACATTCGTTAAAATCTCAAGTCTCCAACTACGTACCTACCACCATCTACAGACCTATCATTATTGCTATTTTTATTACTATTATTATTGTTTATTTTACATTTTTACCCATCTAACTTCACCCGACAACAACCACTAATCCCATGCAAATAGCATTGTCAATTAGCATTCACATTTATACTTTTACAGTTGAAGAAAGCAATTAAACATTAAATAACTTTGTATTGTATAACTTAAAACTAATTAATTTTTAAAAATTCTTAAAAGCTAGAGATGAAAATGGGAAATATGTTATTTGTAATAATTAAACAAGCCATTCAATTATTGGACCAATCTTAAGGGGTGTATTCAATCATAACTTTCATTGACTTTTAAAGATTTGTATGAACTTTAAAAATTTAGAGGTATTCAATTCAAATTTTTAGGGAGTCTTTAAAAGTCAAGAGGTATTCAATCAAGATTTTTAAAGAGTCCTTAAAAGTCGGGTGGTATTCGATTAAGACTTTTAAAGAGTCTTTAAAAGTCATGCGGTATTCAAAAAGTTATGAACTTTTGTAGACTTTTTAATTTTAGGATTTTTGTAGATTTTTCCTTCTCAAATATTAATAGTTGAAATCCAACCATCAACCCCAAGATTTCAAAATTTTCTTTCTACCAACTTTGAATGTTTTCTATCTCTATTTAAACTCTATTTTTATCTCTATTTAAACTTTATAAACCTTATACCTAAATTCAGTAAATTATTTTTTCTTCATTATCCTATATTTTCTCCATACCTAAATTCAATAAATTATTTTTTCTTCATTATCCTATATTTTCTCCATACCTAAACTCTACTAATTTTTTCTCGTTCCTAAACTTTACAATCTCCCTCTAAAAATTTGAAATAATATTATTTTTACTTCATTATTGCTTGTTTGTTTTGATTCTTTTTTTCTATCAACTTTTCCCCGTAACTTCTAAATTAATTTTCTCTACGAATTGTCTACCCTAACTTCTAAACTTTCTCTAATTCTCCCTAAATACATGAATAAAAGCAAATTTTCATATATTAACGTCAACTTTTACTATATGTTTCATAATATTCATATAAATACTTATATATTTTGATTTTTATTCTTTTTATATTATATTTATATTCGTAATATATGTTTTCTTTTTTTTACCAACATGTTACTACGAATAGCAAACTATTGTTCGCAATAGCAATTTGGGGCTGCAAATAGTAATAATATATAAGTAATTAACATATAAGTCTCACCATGCTATAGATAAAAATAATAATGTTGAGAATGTTGATTTGGGTGAAAAACTATATAGTAAGAAGAGAATTTTATGATATATTACAACATGTTTTGTAAGAAATTATAAATTATAAGAATCGAAATCATTTAAAGTTTGTAATGATGTATTCAATTTAGAATTTTAATGACTTTTGTAGACTTTTTTAACTAAAAAAGTTGATAAAAGTTTATGAATGTTTTTTGTATAGACTTTTAAAGAGTCTTACAAAGTTTTAAAAAGTTTTGAATGACTCTACAAAATTCAATCAAAGTTTATTAAAATCTATCATTTTAAAAATCTTTAAAAATTTACAAAAGTCATGATTGAATACACCCCTTTAGTCATAGTTTACAAAATAATTTACCAAACAGGGCTAAAAATAGAGTCATGGTAACTCAGTCTGAATTTAGAAATAATGTGGGGTCAAAATGTAATTATCACAAACTATGTGGTCCAACTGAAAATCACCCCCGCCTAGCACCTACAATACAAAGAACACCTCATCAGAACAACTACGGAGTCTTACGTAAATCTGTCCAACACTCTAAACCAACCCACCATTTTTATCTTAAAGACTAAAAAGAGTCTGTGGGATCAATTGGGTCCAACTGAAAATTATCCCCAAACACCAAAGAACCAAACATCCCATGAAACAACTACAGAGGATTCCATAAATCCGTCCTAGTTCCAACTTACCATCATCGTACAAGTGTGGGCAAGAGAGGAGAGAGAGAGAGAGAGAAGAAGGGGTTTTAGCAGTGTTTTTCTTTTTCCAAACCCAGAGGTTTTTCGTTCCTATCCTCAACTTCATTTCACGTAGGAAATAGTGTAACCCATTCTTTTTCTTTGCCTTCTTTTCGTCATTCTCACAAAAGGGTAAAAAAAAAAAAAAGAGATTTTTTTTTTTTTTTTTTTTTTTTTGGGGGTGTTTGTTGGTTGGATTGTACGCAGCGTTCCAACAATTTGTACAGTAGTATAGATTTCTTCATATCAGGTAATTCTGTTTTTCTTTTGGGTTTATGCGTTTGGGGTTTTATTGTTTGAGCAATTCATTTGGTGTTTTTGACTTTTTGGAGGAGAGGTTGATCCGATCTGCGTTTGGGGCGGTGGGGTTTGGGTGGATGTTCATGTGAAATTCGGGTCGATCAGATCCCGAGATCGGATCAGAGTTACTGAATTGGGTGTTTTCTGGGTTTGGTTGCGTAAAGAAGTTCATTTCGTAAATTCTACGCGTAAAGCCACGGCATAATTGAGCTGGAATTTGAATCGGATTCCACTTTCCGGTTAAATTTTGTCTCCAGAAACCCATTCCGGGCAATTGATCCGTGGAATGAACGATGTTTTTGAAAAATTTTGACGTTTTGGGGCGCTTCTAATTGGATGCCAAACTCTTAAGCCAGTTTGATTTGAGGTGTTTTGGAGCTCAATTTGATCTTCTCTGAAAACTGGGGATTTGAATTTTGTGTTCTTGCGATCCGATCTGATATCTTCAGCTTAAATTTGAGGTTTTATTGGCATTTTCGGGGGAATTCAGGATATGATCTCTCAATACATAACTAATGATATATGTCCGGTCGTAGTTTTATGGATCAGAAGTGTATAGGAAAGGGGGTGGTTGTTTGTGATTCTATTTCATTGTCTTGCATACTTTTGTTTAAGGTGATGCTTTTTGTCATTTGCCCAGGAATATTCTGCTTTAATTTGGTTTTATAAATCTGGTCCACACGGGTGATAAATTAGCAGTTGATGGATGATTTTGATGTGTTTGTTTGTTTTTACTTTTGTTGTAAAGTGAGTTTAATCCAGAAGAGATTTTATTTTTGTGGTTGTGCTTTGCTGCCCCGTTTGCCCGATAAATTTTGTTAAATTTGCTCTATTTTGAAGTCAAATTCATTCTGCAACTTTACTGCAGTGGATTGTGTTGATAGTGGCATGGTGCTTAAGATATGGTGATGAAAAAGAGGCTGGAGTATGGTTTCGATGGCTACCGGTTTCCTGCTGTGCCTCGGGCTCCTAGATCGTCTAGAGTAAGTGCGGTTTTGTATTGAATCTATGCATCTTGTTTGTGTACTTTCTACGATTTCGTGAAATGTTTAAGGGGAATTTGTTGTGATTCAGAGGAGGCATACCGGAAATGTGGATGATAAGCAAATTTGTGCGTTTGAGTTGTTGGCAGCTGTAGCCGGGAAACTTTTACTGGAGAGTGAAAGCTCGGCTTCTAGTAATGCAGCCGAGGGAAAAGATGGACCTGCAATTCAGAGAGATGTAACCGAAGAACTGGGAAATTTTCAAGAAGGCAAAGCTTTGAAGCCGGAGTGCCTTGATCGGGGAAGCTGTGTGGAAAGCGCAATTTTACCCAAAGGCGCAATTCAAGAGCAGAAAATCAAGCATGGCAATGGTGGATCGTCATATTCGGAAAATAGTTGTGTCTCAGAGAGCACTTTTACCGAGTTCTCCGGAAAAGTGTATCCGGGTGTCAAGTTGGAGAGCGTTAAGAATCTCGATGCTGAAGGGAATTTCAATAGCGAAGTGGAAGGAAGACCGTCTAACCTTGGGGATTTACGTAGTGTTAACATTAACAACGCAACTCAAAAACAACAGTTAGCTGATGACGGGATGCAGACGGGAGACATAACTATGGCTGGCGGTTGCAGTGTAAAGGATCCGATAAAAATTTCTTTAACTACTACTAATAAGAATACCCTCAATAACTCAGATTGTAGTGTACAGCTGCCCTTGTACAGGGACCCGGTTCCTAGCGCTTCTTTTGCAAAGCATAGGAGGAATGATGTAAAGTTAGGTATTAGAGATGATGACGAAAATTCTTTTAGGTGCTTTAAACGTAGCACCAAGATCAGGGCCTTTAGGCATCGATCACACAATGGGTACAGAAGAATACGCAAGTTGTTGACATCTAGACGGTGGCAGGTAGCTCCCGGGTTGAAGGAATGCGAATTTTTCAACTCTTGTGAGTGGGAACATATATATATATATATATATATATATATATATATATATATATATATATATATATATTTACGTAATTATAGTCAGATTATGGTTTTAGTTTGTGTACTTAAATTGTTTTTTATCTGATGGGTTTTGGTATTTTAGACAAGGCAATGAGGCCGTATGGTAATAGGAAAAGAACATATGCACAACAAAGACGCCACATTGAAAAGGCTCCCAAGAGAAGGAAATTGTGTAGCCGTAGCTTTGCTATTGCCTATGACCAAGAGGTCAGTAGTGAAAGCGTTTCTAATTTGCCCGAGAAGCAAAGCAATGGAGATAATTACGGCTCGGCCTTGATTGCGCACAGAGGTCCTTTGCCTTGCTGTCGATTGTCGTGTTTGCTGTTGCTGTTATCTCGTAGTATGTAGTCATGCTAAGTAATTATACTTAAAAATTTTCAGGTATCGGGACTACGGCTTCTGTTAAAGGTCTTCAAAATCCTAAGGATCCCAATGGTATGATTTTTTAATTTAACTTTTCCGACTTGTAGTTGGCCATATATTGTTATTCTTAAAAGCTCCTTATTCGGCGTTTCTTTTCTCTTTCAGTAAAATTTAGCATCAAGTCGTTTAGGGTGCCAGAGTTGTATATCGAGGTTCCTGAAACAACAACGGTTGGTTCGTTAAAGGTAAGCAGCTTTATGAGTTTTGAGAAGGAAAATGTTGTGGTCTTATGATAGCATTTGAATATGAATGATGTTTTGTTCAGAAAACGGTGATGGACGCCGTGACAAGTATACTTTGTGGTAGTTTACGGGTGGGAGTGGTTCTTCACGGGAAGAAGGTCAGAGATGACAATAGGACTTTACAGCAAGCTGGTATTTCGCACAATGGTGACCTTGACGCTTTGGGTTTTACATTGGAGCCGAATTTGAGCCAAGTTTCGTCTTCCTTGCCTCAAAAGGATCCTCCGGCTGCTGCAGAAAAAGAACTCTCTGGGTAATTTGGATGTGAAGCAGTTTTATAATCGAGAATCGCTCAAGATTCAGCTTCTATACTTTTTCAGTGTTAGGGAGTGTTTATACTGTGAATTGATCATAATTTTAAACCCAGGAATCCAGCCAGCCCGAATTTGGATTTGGCACTTTTAGCTATTCCTCCCCATCCTTCTCCAGAATTTAAGTTGGATAAACATGATGACGAGAGTAACCATGAGTCCTTGGAGGGCCCCACTGATGCATCAAGAAATGTAGTTGGCGCGGAGTCCCAAGCTCTGGTTGCAGTTGAGCGAACAAATGTGGAGCCACTTGCTGTAGTAGTCCCGATGAACCAGAAAAGTAGACGGTCTGAACTTTCACAGCGTAGGACAAGGAGACCGTTCTCGGTTGCTGAAGTGGAAGCGTTGGTGGAAGCTGTAGAGCAGCTTGGAACCGGAAGGTATGGAGTCGCCGATCCCGAGTTGTAGTTATTTGTGAATGTTAAAACACGATAACCAATCTGATTGTGCTGTGCAGGTGGCGTGATGTAAAAATGCGTGCTTTCGACAACGCAGATCACAGGACATATGTCGACTTAAAGGTAACAGAACATGTAAATTTTTAGAAAGATTTTCGCATTTGCTTTTGACAATGTTGTTAGATCATAGGACATTTGTGCTTTCCTTGTTATTTCCTCCTGTGGTCTGATCGGATTCTTTCATATGATAAGATGCTTTATGTTATGGAAGTTCACATGTCTGTCTAGTTTTATAATACATTATTATTATTATTATTATTATTATTATTATATTGGAGTGGTGAATCTGGCGTATTACCAATCTCATAGTTGTATCGTCACATCCATGTGAAGCCCCGTTAGTTGAGTTGAGCCAACACCTTTTGACGGGTTTGGTGTGGGATTTGAATTTGCAGGACAAGTGGAAGACGTTGGTCCACACAGCGAGCATTGCCCCGCAGCAAAGGCGGGGGGAGCCGGTGCCGCAGGAGCTTCTGGACCGCGTGTTGGCCGCGCATTCATTCTGGTCGCTGCAGCAGGCGAAGCAAAACGGGAAGGCTCACACTGAAGCTGTGACGATTGGTGATGCCCCGCCGCAGCTTCTAGAGGCTTGAAACCTCAAAGCTGGTCTGTTTCATTTCTGAAATGTAAAGAATTTATTAACATAAATTGTAGAAAACAACAACATTACATTACATTTTCACATGTTTTCTCACAGATTGATTGATTTACCTTAGTATTCCACCCTGCTTGGTGGATATGCCCATTGTAAATGAACCCAACCAATAAACCTGTCTAACAGACATCCTAGGACTCTTCTTTTCAAGAATTGATTCAAATGCATTATGTTTATTATTATTGTTATTTTTGGAAGCGTTGTTCAGTAGGCTGGAATAAAATTATTGAGAACTAAAAGGAAAAAAGTGATATAAAAATTAAAATATATGTGTAATAATAATAAAATAAAGGCAAATTTATAAATTTAATATTTTTCCTTTCTTGTGTATCAAACAGAACACTAATTTTTAATCTCTCGAGACTCTTTTTAAAGGCATCTAAATTCAGAGAAGTCACTTTTCATTAGGTAAAATTATTAGTTTCACCTCGCGATTTTCCATCTCCTTGAATTCTTAGTCTCGTGTACTATTTTAACCTTGTTTTATAATTTTTTGTTAGACTTAATTTTCAAAATGGTTTTCCGACTATGACTTTTTCTCAAATTGATTCATTGACTTTTAATTGCACCCAAAGTGGTCCTCCGACCAATGTTGCAAAATACGTTAGGCGTCCGATTAATTATTATTATTATTATTATTATTTATTTTGTATTATTACTATTATTTTTAATTTAAAAAAAATTAAACTAAAAATTGTAAAAATTCACTAATAAAACATAAGATTCTCATAGTTTTTTCTTACAAACTATTTATTTAAGTGGGTATAAAATTGTTCAAAATATTGTTAAAACCATCTAAATACATAAAAAACTAAAATTAAGAGCAAAAGAAGCATTTTTTTGAGAAATTGGTGGGGCAAACCGCCTACGACGATTTCAAATTTTTTTTTTTGTCCAAAACGGATAACCGAGTCAAAAATTATATGCATTGACAAAGTTTCAACACTTTACAAAAAAAAAAAAAAAAAAAAAAAAAACACCGGTTCAGCCGGCTAGGCGGCTGCCTTGACCACCTAGCCGCCCGGCCACGGAGGAGGCCGATTCCGGCCTTCCTCGCCGCGGGCTGGACGGCGCCTAGGCGCGATTTTTGTAACACTGCCTCCGATTATTGAATTTTAAGCCAAAATGATCCTCCGTTAGTTTTGGTGTTACGTGGGTGTTAAAATAAGGGGTAAAAGTCCGTAAAACTAGTAATTCATGGTTTTCACTATAGTCAGAGGACTACTTTAGGGGCAATTAAAAGTCAAAGGACCAATTTGAGAAAAAGGCCATAGTCGAAGGATATTTTGAGAATTTTCTCTTTATAGTTCAAACATGATTTTGTACTCATTTTGATTAAAAGGGGTTGATCTTGTACTTATTTTCATTTTCTAAATAAACAATCTTTTTTACTTTTTTTTTGAAAACCAACCAATCAATGATTGTATTAATGAATCAAAGCTGCTGGTAGGGAATATCCCGACCGACATAGCTTCACCACGACCGAGGAGCCTTTTGTCCTTTTCTCCTTGTCTCTGCAGGTAGCAGGTCGGGCTCCATGAGAAGAACCCGGTCGTAGACCGACCGGAGTTACCCGAGCGGCGGTGTCGACCACCGAGCGGTAGCCCTTGGGCGAAAGAGCTGACGAAGGACACGTGGCGGCTCTTTACATCGACAGGCAGGGCACCCAGGAGGATGGCACGTGGTGGCTACGTGGAAGACATGCCGAGCAGCTGGGATCTTGTCTCCGGCACGGCGGCTATAAATGCCCACAGTAGCTACAGTGGAGGGGACTTTTGGACGATCGATAGGTTGTTATTAGAGACTCCCGACCGCAGTCAGTCGGTACTCAGAGCAACCAAGTAGATTGTACTTAGGAACTCTACCTTGATCAATAAAGACTTACTTGCTTTACTTGGTCTTGTGTTATTTATATTGCTTACGTAGAATTAGCAGTATCACAGGCGATCTCATCACCGCTCCGATCGGTCGGGTCAGGACCGAAGAGATGATCGAAGGGACGATCGTCATGATGACCGACGGAACCCTGACCCTCCGTCTGGTAGCCGCCCGGCCGGAAAGCCTACCATCCACGTTATTTTTGGTGGGCTCGAAGATGCTTCCCGACCGCGGACTAATTGCCCGGTCGCAATAGTGGATTCCCGGGAGACCGGGAAGAGGCAGAAGATGGAGCCCATAACCTTCACCCTTGAGGACCAACCTAGCAGCAGCGACCACGGCATGGAGGCGCTGGTGGTCACGATCGATGTCAAGGGGACGGATGTCCAAAGGGTTATGGTGGACACGGGCAGTAGTGTGAACGTCCTTTACTTGGACGTCTTCGAGAAGCTGGGCCTCGACAGGAAGGAGCTGACTCCGGTCGGTGTACCACTGTCGGGATTTACCGGGGCCTTGATCTACCCCGAGGGAAAGATGACGCTCCCCGTAGAGATCGGCACGCCTCCAAAGTCGATCAAGACGGAGCTGGAGTTTGTTGTGGTCAACCTCCATTGTGTCCACAACATCATCCTAGGCCGACCCGCCATCATGAAGATCGGTGGGATAATTTCCATGCCCCATCTCTGCATGAAATTCCCCACCCCCAATGGGGTCGGGGTGGTCCGTGGCGATGTCCAGTCCGCCCGGAAATGCTACACCCGAGCGGTCAACAGACGCGATTCCGGTCCGTCTTCCCGGGTGAACACTATAGCCAAAGAGGAGGCTAAAGAACGGAAGGAGCAACCCGAACCTTCCGAAGAGATAGAAGAAGTTCCCCTATCCGAGGACCGCCCGGACAGGAAGATTAAAATTGGACGGGCCCTCACCCCTGGGTTCCGAGCAGAGGTTCTGGGCATACTCCGGGAGTATGCTGATATTTTTGCGTGGGGACCCGAGGACATGCCCGGGATCGATCGATCGGTCATTTGCCATAAGCTAGCCGTCGATCCCGCAGCAAAGCCGGTCGTGCAGAAGACACGACACTTATCTTCCGATCGCCGCGAATTTGTCAGGGAGGAAGTCAAAAAGATGGCGGCGATCGAGCACATCCGACCGGTGATCTATCCCGAGTGGGTGGCTAATATTGTCCTTGTTCCGAAGCCCCCAGCTTGGAGGATGTGCATTGATTTCACCGACCTCAACAAGGCCTGTCCGCTCGACCCTTATCCACTACCAAGCATTCACCAGATGGTCGACGAGACGGCCGGGGCCGAGTTGATGAGCTTCATGGATGCCTTCAAGGGGTATCATCAGATCATGATGCACCACGAAGACGAGAGTAAAACAGCCTTCGTGACCCCGGACGGGCTGTATTGCTATCGAGTGATGCCGTTCGGCCTCCGGAATGCAGGAGCGACCTACCAGAGGATGGTCAATATGCTCTTCGCCGATCTATTGGGCCGGACGATGGAGGCTTATATTGATGATATGCTGGTCAAGAGTCGGGACCGATCCGACCACACTCGGGACCTCCGGGAGTGCTTCCAGATCATGAGGAAGTACCAGTTGCGGCTGAATCCGACCAAGTGCACATTCGCGGTTCAGACCAGCAAGTTCCTCGGCTACATGATGACCAAGAGAGGAATTGAGCCCAACCCGGCCAAAGTTAAAGCGATTCTGGACATGCAACCACCTTCTACCGTTCGGGAAGTCCAACAATTGACCGGTCGGTTGGCAGCCCTCAGCCGATTCCTCTCCAAGCTAGCCGAGCGTGCTTTACCTTTCTTCAAGGTATTGCGGAAGGTCAACGGATTCGTCTGGGACGAAGAATGCCGAGCGGCTTTTGACGAGCTGAAAGAATATCTCATGTCGCCGATTGTGCTCTCAAAGCCCGAGCTCGGAGAAGAGCTAGACGTGTACCTCGCCGTCTCCGATCGTGCAGTAAGCGCAGTATTGTGCCGAACCGATCCGGAAGGGGTCCAGCGACCGGTGTACTATGTAAGCCACGCGCTACATGGTCCCGAGCTCCGGTACTCCCGGTTAGAGAAGGTCGTCTACGCCCTCTACATAGCCGCGAAGAAATTGGCTCCCTACTTCCAGGGTCGAGCGATTCGCGTGTTGACCGATCAGCCGATCGGACCAGTCCTCCGCACCGCCTCTTCATCCGGTCGCCTAGTCAAATGGGCGTTAATGCTGACCCAGTACGCGATCGAATACCGACCAAGACCTGCTATCAAAGGTCAAGCCCTTGCTGACTTCTTGGTTGAGTGCACCGCCCGGGATACCCGGCCTCCTGAAGTTACGGATCCCGAGGCTGAGTGGTGGTCGTTGGCTACTGACGGGTCAAGTAGCAAAAAAGGAGCAGGAGGAGGAGTAGTAATCACGAGCCCAGAAGGATTCAAAGTCTATTTCGCTCTCATGTATCAGTTCCACCCGACCAACAATGAAGCCGAGTATGAGGCGTTCGTAAATGGCTTGCAATGCGCTCGGGACTTGGGGGCTGAATACATCCGAGCCCAGACAGATTCTGCGCTCGTGGTCGGGCAAGTTCTCGGAGATTATGAAGTCAATGGTGAGCGTTTGCAATTGTACCGAGACCTCGCCATGGAAAAGCTCGCTCAGTTCCGGGGGTATACCGTCCGACATATACCCCGATTGGATAACGCCGATGCGGATATCTTGTCCAAATTGGCCCAAGACGCCCCGGAACACATGTCGAAGATAGCTCGGATCTTGGTGATCCCCAAACACAGTATCCATCGCCTGCCGGTCAATCCAATCCAACCGGTGGAGGACAGCTGGATCACCGATCTGAAGGAATACCTCGAGCACGGTCGACTCCCAGACGACCCGCAACGTGCTCGAAAGGCCAAGCTGAGAGCCCCGAGGTTCCAAGTCGTGAACGGTCGTCTCTATCGGCGATCGTATGGAGGCCCCCTTATGCGTTGCTTGACCGCATTCGAGGCCGAGTTAGTCATGAAGGAGCTGCACACGGGAATCTGCTCCTCACACCAGGGAGGTCGATCCCTGGCCCGTCGTATCATGCTGATCGGGTACTACTGGCCGTCCCTCCAGCTAGACTGTGAAAAGTTAGCTCGGGAATGCGAGACGTGCCAACTGTACGCCCGGATGCCTGGACGACCGGCAACGTTCTACCAGCCAGTCACGACCGCAGTTCCTTTCGCTAGGTGGGGGGTGGACATCTTGGGCCCTTTCCCTCAGCTTTCCGGTCGGAGAAAATTTGTGATCGTTGCAATAGACTACT